CACCGAGGGCGCGGGGTCGTGGTGTCTGGGGGCCGCCGAGGGCGCAAGGGACTGGCAGCGCGCCCAGGACATGGAGCTGGAGGCCTCCTGTCCGGGGGTAAGGGAGGTCTGAGGAAACAGGTAACGGAGGGCACTGGGCGCACCAAGGTCGGAGTGGGTTTCGGTAGTTGGTGGCCTTAGGGGGCACGGAAGACACAGGTGTGGAGGAGATTGTGGGAGCACCAAGGACACGTGGGTGGGAGTTCTGTGTGGAGGCGTGGGGGTCTGAGAGGCAACCAGCATGAACATCAGGGACAAGAGGGGTCCCCCGGAAAGCAGAGGGTGGAGAAAGGGGGTTGAGGCCGGGATACCAGTGGGACAGGGAGGAGGGAGTCCCTGAGAAGCAACCAAGGTGGGTACAGAGGGGAGGCCTGCAGTCTGCGAAGCACAGGAGTGGATAGGAGGCCTGGGTACAGGCACAGACTGGGGTCACAGGCAGAAGGCCAGCAAGGACCTAGGAATCTAAGGACCCAGGAAGGCTGTGGGGAGCCCTGACAGCTGGAGTTGGGTCTCCTGATCTGACCATCTCCACCTTGCACAGGATGGAGCTTTCAGTCCCCAGGACTGACTGCTAGTGGGGTGCAGTTAGGGTGCAACCAGACTGTGTTTGAATCGAGGATCAGCTGTGTGAGGTTGCAAAAGTCCCGTCCCGTCTCTGAATCTCAGTTGCCTCAATTGTATAAGAGGATGATAGAGTTGTGATGTTTCTGAGAGCAGGGCTCACCACACCAGCACATTGTAGGTGCCTTAGTTAATTACTGCTGTTAGTGGAGAGGAAAAATGGAGGCCAGGAGATACTCCCAAAGCAGCTAAACATAGTTCTCAAAATCCTTGCACACCCCCAGCTGCTGGGTTCACTATGCTTGCCCATCGGCTTCTCAGGATCCCAGCCCCTAGCAGGGTGCTTTGGGAAAGGGTGTCAGCCTTTGTTTCCACCCTGAATATGTACCATACCCTCTGGGGTCTCCCTGGTACTGGTTTTGTTGATGAGTGCCTCCAGACTGTTTGGCTTGGCTGAGGTGGTGCAGATAGTGGTGAATGCCACCACTGTGTGCCAGGTGCTGTGCCCAGGACACTAGTCTCATGATCCACTTCATCCTGGCAACAAGTGGTGAAAGGTAGGGAGTATAATCCCCATATTGCAGATGAAGAAACTGAGACTCAGAAAGGTAAAATGATTTTCCCACCATTACACAGTGAGTGTCAGCGCTGGGATTTGAACCTTAGTTATCAGCTACTGTCCCCCAGAGAGTGCTCAGGGAAGTTGATTCTTTTCCTGTAGAAGGGCAGATCCCCAGGCACCCAACCAAGAGAGGCTAAAAAGGGGAAATGGGAAAATGAGGGTATGGGCACCAGTCTTACCCTCAATTTCCAGCATGGGATAGGGCAACAGACCAATCCAAAAATTATACACTCAGTGTGTCAGAGCAGGAAGGAACTTATTCATACAGAGTTCCATTCTGCAGATGGACGCACTGAGACTCAGAAAGGAGCAGGGACTTTCCAGGGTCACACAAAGTTACTCCCCAGCTCCATACTTCTAGGTGGAGGGGAAGGTACTTTTAGGAGACTTCAGGTATTTCCACTGGATCCAAATCTGGGCTCCTGTTGCCATGGTAACCCCTCCTATAGAGTCTAGCTTAGTCTGAGGCAGCCATGAGTGATCATAGCTTCAAACTGAACTGAAGCCCCTAGTTTCAGGTGGGGGAGGGCAGATATAAATAGAAACCCCTTCCTCTCCTAGACTTCAAGCTCTGTGCAGATAAGCAAACGGTGGGGCCTGCGTGGGTGTCAAGAGAGGTGTTCCAGTCCCAGCTCCGCCAGCAGCTTGTGTGACCTTGGAACAATGACCTCCCACTCTGGGACACTAATTCTTCATCTTCAGTATTCTGGGGATGAGCCAGGAGTGTGATATCTGAGGGCCTGACTTGCCGTCTGTGGTAGGGTTAATAGTGTTGGTTCTTGAGCCTGGAGGCCTAGGTGCAAATACTGGCTTGCTTTGCTACTTACTAGTTGAGTGACCTTGGACAAGGGGCTTCCCTCCACACTTCAGTTTCCCTAATAGGAAACTGAGCATGCCTACGTGATGGGATATTGTAAAGACGCAATGTTGGCATTTGGTACATGCAACTAAGGTGACCTATTATTACTATTTCTTATTTTAAAAGGGCCTTTAAGAGTTTGGTAATAAAGCCGTTTAGTAAAATGTATTAGCTTCTTTTGTATCCAAGATGCCATTCAGGTAGGTTTTTAGAATCGCTAGACTCTAAGGCTTTGGTTTCCAACCTGGATTTTGGATTGTAAAACATGATTGCTAAAGCGGTCTTTTGAGGCCATAGGAATAGCCGACTTCTCTCTTGATTCCAGTTTGGAGGGTATCAGTGGGTTCCCACATTGTTGCCTTCTTTTGTGTGTGTGTGTGTGTGTGTGTGCGAGACAGTCTTGCTCTGTTGTCCAGGGTGGAGTGCAGTGGCGCAATCTCGGCTCACTGCAACCTCCACCTCCTGGGTTCAAGCAGTTCTCGTGCCTCAGCCTCCTGAGTAGCTGGGATTACAGGCACACCCACTATGCCTGGCTAATTTTTGTATTTTTATTTTATTTTGAGACGGAATCTTGTTCTGTCGCCCATGCTGGAGTGCAGTGGTGTGATCTTGGCTCACTGCAACCTCTACCTCCCAGGTTCAAGCGATTCTGCTGCCGCAGCCTCCTGAGTAGCTGGGACTACAGGCGTGTGCCACCAGGTCCAGCTAATTTTTTGTGTTTTTATTTACTTATCTATTTATTTATTTATTTGAGATGGAATTTCGCTTTTATTGTCCAGGTTGGAGTACAATGGTGCAATCTTGGCTCACCGCAACCTCAGCCTCCCAGTTCAAGCGATTCTTCTGCCTCAGTCTCCCGAGTAGCTGGGATTACAGGCATCCACCACCACTCCCAGCTAATTTTTTGTATTTTTGGTAGGGACAGGGTTTCACTATGTTGGCCAGGCTGGTGTCGGACTCCCGACCTCAGGTGATCCACCCAGCAGCCTTGGCCTCCCAAAGTGCTGGATTACAGGCATAAGCCACCGCACCTGGCCCTTTTTTATGTTTTTAGTAGAGGCAGGGTTTCACTATGTTGGCCAGGCTGGTCTCAAACTACTGGCCTCAAGTGATCTGCCCGCCTTGGCCTCCCAAAGTGCTGGGATTACAAGCGTGAACCACTTTATCTGGTTATTTTCATTTTTAGTTTTTGTGGGTACATAGTAGGTGTATATATTTATGGGGTACATGAGAAAATCCAAAATATTTAAGAAAAAGTGATTGAAGCACTTTGTAAGTTGCACAAACACTAGTGAACACCCAAAGCACTTAATCAAAAGATCCAGGGATCAAACTATAGCATTATGAATTTTGAAAATGATTCATTTAATTAATTAATTTGTTTATTGACACAGGGTCTCCTTCTGCCACCCAAGCTGGAGTGCAGTGGCACAATCTCAGCTCACTGTAGCCTCAACCTCCTGGGCTCAAGTAATCCTACTTTAGCCTCCCTAGTAGCTGAGACCACAGGTGCCCGCCACCACGCCTGGCTAATTTTTGTATTTTTAGTAGAGGCGGGGTGTTGCCATGTTGCCCAGGCTGATCTTGAACTCCTGAGCTCAGGTCATCTGCCCACCTCAGCCTTCTAAGGTGCTGGGATTACAGGCATGAGCCACCGAACCTGATCGAAAATGATGTACTATTAGTATTACTAGTGTCCCAAACTTCCAAGACGTTTCTCAGATACCCTTTATTCTCCTATTCCGTTTTCCAGCACTGGGCTAGGCACCAAGGGAAGCCTTCAGAAATAATTGTGCCTCGATGCGACTCCCAATTGTCGGAGTGTCTGCCTCAGTCTTGTCCTCCTTCTGTGCCTATGCAGGCGGCCGGGAGAACAAGATGCCTATTCTCATTTCCAAGATCTTCAAGGGATTGGCAGCTGACCAGACAGAGGCTCTTTATGTGGGGGATGCCATCCTGTCCGTGAATGGGGAAGACTTGTCCTCTGCTACCCATGATGAGGCGGTGCAGGCCCTCAAGAAGACAGGCAAGGAGGTGGTGCTGGAGGGTAAGCACTGACGTTCCAGGGTCCAGACGGGCTGGGTGGAGGTGTTCCACTGCTTCCCTACCTCCCCTAGGCCTCAAGAGGCCCCATCCCAGCACTGGGGGCTGGGAGATGGGCAGGATTGAAAATAGAAACAGAACTTAGGGACCTGCCTGAAGACAGCGTGGGGTGGTGGAGGGAGAGCTGGCACAGAGCTAAGCAGACCTGGTTTGCATTTTCTGTCTTCCAGTCACTAGCTGTGTGGCCCTGGACAAGTCACTTCATTTCCCTGAGCCTTAGTTTCCTCATCTGTAAAACGGGGATGTAGCTCCTGCCTTTCTGGGTTGTTGAGACTAGGGCAAAAACGTACATGGCAGAGTGTGCCAGCCCCTGAGTGACACAGGGAGAGAGGGGTGCAGACTGGGGAAGGGGCAGCTCAGATTATTTCCTTTGGGGCCTGGAGAGCTCTTGACTTCAGGTTCTTTTGGTTTCTGGACCTTAAAACCCTAAGACCCATCTTCCTTTGGGAGAAGCCTCAGCTTTTATTTTACTTTATTTTTTTTTTGAGATGGAATCTTGCTCTGTTGTCCAGGCTGGAATACAGTGGCATGATCTTGGTTCATTGCAACCTCTGCCTTCTGGGTTCAAGTGATCCTCCTGCCTCAGCCTCCCAAGTAGCTGGGATTACAGGTGTGCATCACCATGCCCAGCTAATTTTTGTATTTTTGTAGAGACAGGGTTTTACCATGTTGGCCAGGCTAGTCTTGAACTCCTGACCTAAGGTGATCCACCTGCCTCGGCCTCCCAAAGTGCTGGGATTACAGGCATGAGCTGCCACATCTGGAAGCCTTGGCTTTTATAGAGCAGGACATCAGATCCTTCCAGCGATGATCAGAGAGGAGTTTTGTGGTGGAACCTTGGTTGGATGACTTTCTCCACTCTTCCCTCACAGTGTGGTCTTGGGTGGGACACTTGCCCTCTGTGGGCCTCAGCTTCCCCATCAGTTGTTATAGGCCTCCTGCTGAGGTTGTCCCACGACCATCTTGTGCCATGTCTCTCAAGAGGTTTCTGCTTTGCTCAGCCCTTTCCTCAAACTCTGTCAGCTCTGGAAGCCAGTGGAGGCCTGAGGAATGTGTCTCTGGCTTATGGCCCAGAACAGACACACGGAGGTGGCGGGGGCTGATGGAGAATAACATGGCCAGAGAAGCTGCTGAGTTGAGTCCCAGGCCCAAATCCTGGTGGATTGCCTTGGTTTCCCTAAAGGAGTGTCCAAGAGGCCACAGAAGCAAATAGGTTCTGGGTCCTTGATTGATCTTTGGCCTTCTTGTGGCCCCAGACCCCAATTCCCATTCATTTTTGTTTTATTTTATATTTTAGGTATATCTATTTAAATGTCACGGATACATTTTTCTTTTTCTTGTTTTTTTTTTTTTTTGAGACAGGGTCTTGCTCTGTCACCAGGCTGGAGTACTGTAGTATGATCTTGGCTCAATGTACTCTCTACCCCCCGGGGCTCAAGCAATCCTCCCACCTCAACCTCCTGAGTAGCTGGGACTACAGATGCATGCCACCATGCCTGGCTAATTTTTTTTTTTTTTT